TAAACAAAAAGTATTGAACAAATTGTCTGTCGATATGATATGAAGCGTTGGGTTCAATGACGGCCAGTATGTGTGCCCTAACGGACGCGTAAGGGATCGACCATTCATTGTGTCTAATAATGAGGTCCTGAGCAGACGGACGACCGTTTCGTACGTTATTTAATAGACGTAACGTTAGTTTCTTTATCTTCTCGTAATTTGTATCCAATTCTTGTTCAGTTTGGCTGAAAATTATAAAATCAATTTTGTTAATAACCTTGGTATGTTTGTGAAAATAAAAATATAATATTCTAATCGCAGTTACTAGAATAAATAGCTAATTTCAAAAATGTTTAACATTACAAATTGTAATTTACAATAAGCCAATAATATATTTTAACTTTTGAAATTATATAAACAAATAATTTTTGTTATAATTAACAGTTTATATGCAATATATTTAAACACTATATCAATAAATTTTGTAATATCTAGATTTCTAAATACAAAAATAATGTTTAAATTAAATGATCTAATTATTGTATATAATTAAATTTTAACAAATGTTGTTAATTAATACTCACAACAAAGTGTTGGCATCAAAGTTAAACATATGCTGAACAGTAACGCCCAAACTATACATATCGCACTTTGTGTCGTATCGGCGCCCCTGACGGACCTCAGGCGCCAAATACTCGTCTACACCCGAGCACTGAGTATGAGATTGATCATCACTTATGTGCTCTGTAGCCAAACCAAAACCACCCAACTTGACAAATGTACCAGCATCTGGATCGTGTTTAATCATAATATTGCCAGGGTTAATTTGCCGGTGTATAATAGATGGAGTATTTGTATGCAAACAATCAATAGCTACAAGTAGATCGTACAACAACTCGGCCATAATGTAATAGCCTACGGGTGGCAGTAATTGGCCATGGTCTAATTGAAAATGTGTTAATATACGATCGATAGCCTCCCGGAGCGAGAATGAGCACAACTCCTGCTGAACGTAATGTACGGCAAAGTTTGCGAACGCGAACTGATGTGCGAACAGGCGTTGAATGTCCGGTCTTTGGGTGTTTAGGTAACGCGTGAACCGTTGCCGACACTCTTCGTCCCTCTCGACCCACGAGTCGTAATACT